TCACTTATCAACCCAATCGCCCATCAAGCATAAAGTGGTGCCGCTGCTGCTGCGGACACCACGCCTGGCTGAGTGCCGACAAGCCGACCGTCGCGTAGCCTGAGCTAGTGTAATAGCGAGCGTGGCTCCCGGCCACAGTCCGCACGAGACAACATGCAAGCCGCAGGCTCCTCGGTGCCGTCCACAAAACGCCGTCGCACCACACCGGACACTCACCCCTAACTTCGGCGACGCAGATACAAGGCACGCACAACACTGCCTTGCTGCTTATGTCCACTGCACTACCAGCGCACGCAGACCAGCAATGCGAGGAGTGCTTCTGCGCCTTCGCGCGCAAGCAAAAAACACACCTTCTGGATCAACATGCGAATCCCGCCACCATAGCCCCTCCCGTTTCACCCCACCACATCCAACACCCAAACGGTACTAGCTTAGGCCCTTCCCGGCGCACCAAAGTGACGCTCTGTCCTGACGTTCACGGTCGCTAGAACTCATGCAGAACATTCCTCCTCTACAGAGCCACTGCCTCAAAGACGCAAACGTTCACACATGGGGAGGGAGAGAGCTGGTGCGATCTTCCACCCACCCCAAAGCCCCACAACACTCGATGGAATCTGCATCGCCACTCGCAAACACTGATACGGGAGACAGATGCGCAGTTAAGCAAGCAAACACGCTCACTTCCTGACGACAGCAAAACAACCCGTTGCGCGCAAGCTAGCGTTCGCTGCGCCTGGCCTGCCCGCCTCTCTTCCACCTCCCAGACCCCACGTCAGCCAGTCCCGCCACCACTGCGTACCCATCCAACTGTGACCACCCCTAACACCCGCTCTACTGGAGAATCTACGACGTGTGCAGCTCTTTCACTGCGAGGTGTCATAAAAGGCAAGAAACACGCAGCGACATCGGCGTCGTGCGTGCTACTGACACCACATCTACCCTGCGCTACACGGCGTCACGCGTGCTACTGGCACCCCAGCAACCGTGCACTACTACACCTCACCACCACGTCTAACGGTTCGTTATTTAAGGCGGCTCACGCGTTCGTAAATATCCTTTTCCTTCTCAGAAGTCGTGCTGTCCCGCTGCGTAGTTCCATGCCTGCCACTGGGCAGCCGTAGCCACGGCGGTCCACGTATTCTACCCGCATGTAGGTAGAAACTGCCATCTCTCGAAGCCCACACGAAGGCAGCGCTACATCCTGCACTGGCTTCATTGACTGAAGCCCAAAACCAAATGGGTCTGCGGGGCATCCTTCCTATTGGGGGGTCCAATACTGCAACCACCCAGAACTCTCCCACTCAGCACCTAATCATCGACGATCTGGTGGACGCCTGCGGCAGTGCCCCTCGACAAACAAACACAAATTATTCTTATTTTCGCATTTAACCCCGATGGTTCCAGGTCTTACATCTTGCGCCGACTCACGCTTGCTTCAACGCATTCGCAGGCCACTTTGCACTCTCCCCTCAGCCATCCGTCAACACGACTAGTTCTGGGCAATAAGCTGCTGTGTACCTGCATACTCAACTCGCGATGGGCACGCTGTAGCGTACTCCGGAGTGATTCAGTGTGCTCATTGCAGCTTTGGTCCACCAAATCGATGCACAGCATAATGCCCGGCAACTCTGCGCAAAGGCGACGAAACACTACTCACCATATGCTGCATTGCGCTCGACATTTCTACTCATCATACACCAGCACATACTCCCTGATGCAAAGCAAACAACAACAGCACTGGGAAAGCTTCCACTACTCCTAGCGTTCTTCTGTACTCTTCCTCTAGCCGCCTAGAACACCTGCGATTGGCACCTCTGCAGATCCATCCTGCGAGTACGTACAAACACTTGCGGTTCCGGCTCGCTGATCAGGCATATACACCCACAATTCATTTCGTTACGCTATGCAAGTGAAGAACGCCTTGCTTTCTGTCTACAAATCTGCTGCTCCATGACGACAACGCATCATATGGCGTGCTTTCGCGGCTACTTATTGAATTTCTGGCTCTCTC